GTAACACACATGAATATATATAAGGTGACATTAAAATGAATATACCAGATTTAACTTTCCTGCCATAACACGTTACTTTAATACTTCAAATAATTGAAATAATCCTTCACTAGTCAATGACCTTTAGAGAGCTGGGACCAAAGTAACAAAGGCTACCATCAGTAACACACTACGCCGCCAGGGACTCAAATCCTGCAGTGCCAGACGTGTCCCCCTGCTTAAGCCAGTACATGTCCAGGCCCGTCTGAAGTTTGCTAGAGAGCATTTAGATGATCCAGAAGAGGATTGGGAGAATGTCATATGGTCAGATGAAACCAAAATAGAACTTTTTGGTAAAAACTCAACTAGACGTGTTTGGAGGAGAAAGAATGCTGAGTTGCATCCAAAGAACACCATACCTACTGTGAAACATGGGGGTGGAAACATCATGCTTTGGGGCTGTTTTTCTGCAAAGGGACCAGGACGACTGATCCGTGTAAAGGAAAGAATGAATGGGGCCATGTATCGTGAGATTTTGAGTGACAACCTCCTTCCATCAGCAAGGGCATTGAAGATGAAACGTGGCTGGGTCTTTCAGCATGACAATGATCCCAAACACACCGCCCGGGCAACGAAGGAGTGGCTTCGTAAGAAGCATTTCAAGGTCCTGGAGTGGCCTAGCCAGTCTCCAGATCTCAACCCCATAGAAAATCTTTGGAGGGAGTTGAAAGTCTGTGTTGCCCAGCGACAGCCCCAAAACATCACTGCTCTAGAGGAGATCTGCATGGAGGAATGGGCCAAAATGTGTGAAAACCTTGTGAAGACTTACAGAAAACGTTTGACCTCTGTCATTGCCAACAAAGGGTATATAACAAAGTATTGAGATGAACTTTTGTTATTGACCAAATACTTATTTTATCATTTGCAAATAAAGTCTTTAAAAATCAGACAATGTGATTTTCTGGATTTTTTTTTTCTCATCTTGTCTCTCATAGTTGAGGTATACCTAGGATGAAAATTACAGGCCTCTCTCATTTTTTTAAGTGCTTGCACAATTGGTGGCTGACTAAATACTTTTTTGCCCCACTGAATATACATCTGCACACATTAAGTCAATATATACAAAATAATAATCTCTTCAAAACCTTTTGCTCTTAATGTCTTTCATGTTTGTAAAGCACTTTGAATTGCCTTGTGTTGAAAAGTGTTGTATAAATAAACTTGCCTTGCCTTGCATACGACACTTTAAAATGTAGGTTTTTCATTGGTTAACCCTCTCTCTTTCTCTGCAGTGGTTCTGGTCCCGGTCACTTCCCTCTGGGTGAGATCCAGCTCACCATCAGACACTCGTCCCAGAGGAACAAACTCATCGTGGTGGTGCACGGCTGCAGGTACGAACAACAAAGGACCAGGAGTTTTACTGACTATATATCAGGAGAGGGTTTTTGAAGTCTTCAGTTATATTCTTTGGTTTTCTTACTTCTTTTATTGTGAAAATACAGGAATATACAAGTGAATAAAGACAGTGTTTTTGAAGATAAATAAGTGCTGAGGAAAATGTAGAATATTAAATGGCTGAACTGTTAGTATTTTCTGATATGAAAATCAACACATCTGCACAAAACAGAACAGTACCTAAACGTCTTAATACATTTTTTTTGTTTTAATGACATAAGATCTATGAAAAGTGGCTTTAAACACGGATAGAATTGGGAAAAAAGGACATTTACAAAATTACACATTAAATTGACACCAACATGTTCCCAGTACAAATATCTTTTTGCACCAATTTTCAAATAAATAACAGCTTTTTAAACAAGAAGTGACATTTACAATATTCAGTTGTCAGTTTTTCAGTTATAATCCCATGTTTCCCTTCCCTCAGAAACCTGATAGCGTTCACGGACCACGGCTCGGATCCGTACGTCCGCCTCTACCTGCTTCCCGACAAACGGAGGTCAGGGAGGAGGAAAACTCACACCTTCAAGAAGACCCTCAACCCCGTTTACGACCAGACGTGAGTCCCACCTTCACTGGACAACTTATTTTTCAATTTTCCAAAATTAAAATCTCAGAAAACAACTAGATCTATGTTACGTAGTATATGGAGTTTCCCAAAAATGGTCAAACCAGAGAAATCTATCATTATTACCAAGATAGCGTTGCATTTGGTCGACTCTAATGGCATTTTATCCCCATACTTTATGGGGTCTTTTTATCCAGCTTTAAGCCACATTTTAATATGTGATAAATAACCAATGACATGATGGGATGGTGAGAGCAAATGACATCACCAAACTCTGTCTTTAGTTGATGTTCAGAGGTGGGAAGTAGTGGAGTATAAATACTTTGTTACTGTACTTAAGTACATTTTTCTGGTATACTTTACTCAAATTTTCCGGACAACTTTTTACTTTGACTTCTTACATTTTGAACACAAATACCTGTACTTTCTACTTCTTACATTTCCCAAACAGGCTGGTTCCTTTAGTCTGAATGTGTGTTTGGTGGCGTGATCATTATTATTTAGAGTCATTGCGTGCCTATTGATTTGAACACGATCCGTGTATCCATCATTTCCTGGTCTTCTCTAAAGAAGAGGGACCAATGAAAACGTTGTCATGTTGCCGTTGTTCAGCATGGAAACATTCATTAGCTAACAATGACATTATTGTTCTATTAATATAAAGGGAGGTCAGGTACTCTTTAAAACAGCTGCTAGTTATGGGTACTTTTTACTGAAGTACATTTCAAAGCCTCTTTACTTTGACTTGAGTAAAGAAGTTTAGTCAGTACGTATACTTGTACCAGTATTTTTAAACCCGTAGTATCTGTACTTCTACTTGAGTACAGGATGTGTGTACTTCTGACATCTCTGTTGATGTTTTGATTGAGAGTGTGTGCTTTTAAACGTAGTATTTGATCTGATGATTGTTAATGTTTCCTCCTCCTCAGCTATGAGTTCAGTGTGTCTCTCGTGGAGCTCCACAGACGCACTCTGGACATCGCGGTGAAGAACGGAGGAGGACTGCTCTCCAAACACAAAGGCCTTCTGGGAAAGGTACACTCTCTCACTACAGATTCTACACGCTTCATTAAATACAGAAATATCCAGAAATCAATCCAATTATCTATAAAGCAGTCTTTGTTTGAGGATTATGGTTTCAAATCTTGAGTTTTGACAATATTCCAGTGTGTTTATCGACCTGAAATAGTGTTTAACTCACAAGAGTATCTTCAAGGATGGTAGATTATTCGGTC